AGAAATGAAGTTGTATCATATCATGAGTCTGGTCGTGATCTTTACAGTATGCGATTGGTTAAAATTGAAATATTTTCAACCTGGATGATTGTACTGCTTACAGTCAACGATATTAATATTCCAAAAGTATGGACCAGTACCACGGGGGAACGTTTTCCGTCGTTCCCTGTAGTTCAAAAGTCTCCGTCACCCATGCCTGTACTTGCTTCGGCTTGGCCTTGTAGTACTCTCTAATTGAGTCTTGTCATTTAAGGTTAAGTGCTTGCTTGCTTTCCGCTTGCCGTGCATCTTCTCAAATGTCTTAATTGTGTGTGGTTACCGGTATCGACGTGAAGTCATTGCCGCCACAAATTTGAATTTTCAAGTGACCAATGCTGCCTTGTCAAAAGCCACCCAAGAACTTTATAATTTGTTGCTTCTCCCGGGGTATACATTTATGCCAGGGTGCAAACGTTGCGGGGTCACTGTACTCAAGTGTGGGAAGCGGAAATTCGGTTGATCACCAGAATGAAATCCATGATTCAAAAATTGCGCATTTACGCATCAGACCGCATTCCTAAAGGATACGTGAATATGTGAAAGGTCGACAAAAGCGATCCCAGAGCAGCCTGTTGAGGGATTTTTGTCCGGGCGCTGTTGCGTTTGACTTGGTTTTTACCTAGGAATTATGCGATTAGCGATGAGGAGAGGGCGTATTCCATGTCGTTTCCATCGCATTATTTCTGTCCTCTAGCAATTTTTCATAGAAGTGTCCAAACACTTGAGCGTCGTCGGATAAATATGTACGTTCGTTCTGGCACTACATCACTCTATCCGTGGACGAGCTTGAGCTTGAGGAGGTGGCGGAGGATGCTCGACGAGAAATGCGGTAGGAGCTTGAGCACGTCCGCGTCGTTGAGGAATTTGGCGCCATGGACGTTACCGCGGCACGCGGCATCGCCACATTGGCAGTCGAACTTTTCGTCCATGTCCCACTCGGTCGTGTTGTAGTCGAACGTGATGTCCTGGCCTGAGAAGTCATGAGCCACAGTGCATGCTCCCTCGATGCGTGATACCTTTGGCAATCGGTTTGATCGCAACCAACTGGACGACGGGCTCCGTTTCCGACATGATGAACGACGCGTTCGGGTTGCACGAGTGGTTGGCATACTCCAACCCACCAAAGATCTCGACGTGCTTATCGTGCGCCATTTGAATCGTAAACCGCGTGGGGGCGTCGTACTACGTGCTTCAGTGAGCTATCCATGCTGAACTGTCAGAGCATACCATCGTGCCTCGAGCCGTGCCAATCACTTCGTCCTTGCGGATGTCGCGTGCAGCAATTGCTGTGTTCCACTCTGGCGTCCTAATGTTGGATGGCCATCCATGTCAGTGCGAGGTGACGATACGGTCGATCCTGGCAACGTACACCCGCTTGACTTCAAATGGGCCGATCGTTTTGGGCTCGGTCCCTCGAATCACTCTCGCTTGGGCGGAACTGACCACACTTCGGCACAACGGCGTCGCGACGACGGTGGCGCGGCGGATGAGTTGTCGCTTCAATTGAAACATTGTCGACTGTGACTTGGGCTGGGTGGCTGGTCGTGAAAAATACACAATGACACGTAGCCTGCAGTGGGTATGTCAATTGCTGGGGAGGCTTCGACAGCCCATCACCGCTGCACACGCGCACTCTATGTAGAGCATGCTCTCCCAGGCACCGCGGCCGTTTTCTGCAATGTAATAGGAAAATATGCAATATTTCTTGCATTGGGGAATACCTAGTATAACTTAGGTGAATGTTCTAGTGTGAAATGAAGGTAGAAAAAAGTGCATTTTGCAATCGACCATGAAGGAATGCCGAACATAATTGCTTGGTATCCGGATAATTCACCAATCACACACGAGATATGTCGAAATGCACCAATCCAACGCTGGCCTTTGGCAGAGGAGGCGTCGGCATCGTTTCGGCGCCACCATCTGCGATGTCGACTCGACCCGCTGGTCACCCATAGATGGCGCATTCGCGCGCACATGACGCTTGACGTCAAGTCGAATGGCGTCGCATGATAGAAGCAACGACGCGAATTCAACCAGCCATGGACCTTTCCGCATAATATGCAGGCTGTTGCTTGCCCCCCCCCATGGAATTAACCTCGCGCAGACAAAACCTGGTCCATCCAAACTGTCCCCGTGACGTCCATTTGTCGATCGCGAAATTATGAGACAACGGACAATAATAAATTTGACAAAATCATGATCCATTGATGGAAATACTAAGGTATAGAGAAGGAGAATGTTATATTTTTAAAGTTGCGCTTTTTGCACAATTTGTCAATTCAAGCTAAAAACGTTTTGATGACAATGCCTTTAAGGAGTGAAAAATTGTTTTCTCTAATTTGTGAAGGCGTTTTTGGCAAAGATAACGCACCATAATGAATAATCATGGAGGAAGTCGAAATTGTCTTATCCCCGTCATCCGAATAAAATCCGGATAGCGGTTGCTGCCGAAATCGTGGACTGCAACCACAGTCAAGGTCTACTGCTCTCCCAATTGCCCACGGGGCCAACCTCGGCCCTTGCCCACTGGTATTTCTAGGCCGGACACTGGCGATGCACCTTGGTCTCGGTGTTCCAAGAAGTCGATCAACGCATGGCGCTCACATGAGGGTGGTATGGTAAGAACATTGTTGGAGAGTGGACGCACCGGCTTCCGCAACAGAATCTCTATCGTGATCCAAAAACAAGGAACTGGTTGCGCCGCCAGGAAAGGCACCGGAGGATAGAGCTGACCTCAGACAGATTTGTCGATTAAGCATAGGACACATGGACTATCTCGCGCACGTTGGACTTGGCGTCGTTGCTTTCCCACACGGTGCGGGCGACCATGGTTCCGTCTTGCGCCACGAGCGACTTGAAGTGGTGGACACTTCCGCCTGTTCCAAAATAGTACGATTTGGCGGCGACAAGGGCGATCCCGCCACGTCGTTTCAAGTGCCGTTGGATGGTCTAGCGGTGCAACGAGTCGTACTAGTGGGGCAACTTTTCGCACGCAATTCGTTGGGTACCTGAAACAGTTCGACGCTGACACTCTCCGTGTAAATGGTTTCCGCGGTCAAAATTAAATCAAACTCCATGTCAGTGCCATGAGCTAGCATGTCTTCGGACATCAATTGCCAATCGCCAGAGTAGAAGGTCGCCTTGGTTAGGTCGTTGGCGTTGGCGTTGCGCTGAAGGTTTGGGATTGTGGCCAACTCGATCACTTCGTGGTTGTAGTCCGAAAAAGTTACGTGTGCTGCGCCTAGAATAAACACAACACAGGATGAGCCCCGTGGGTTTTGTGTTTGCTGCATCGATATACCTTGCTGCAATGCATGCAGACCAGGCAACCCATGGCCACATCCGAGCTCGAGGACACGCCATCCGTTATGCACAGGGAGGTTGGGCGCATTCGCAGCCAGGTACTGAATCAAGTCGACCGCACATTCCCACAACTTGAACCCACCTAAACCTCGAGAATGTTAATGGCCGGCCCTCAATAATGGTGGTGGTCTAACAGACGGACGAACCTTCGTACACCCCTGTCTGAATATCTGAGGTCGTGAGGAGGCTGGCCAGTTCGCCAGTGCCTGGTCAAATATGATCATGAGCTTTGTACCCGCGTTCAGTCACGGCCGTACGCGACAGAAATCGTGGGTGGTGCTGGTTAACGATTGCCATCGACAGAACAGGGCCAACTGGCACGACAATAAACTCATTGGCAGCTGGTGGTTCGGTTGGCGGTGCGGCGACATGTCGCCGTGCGGGTCGTTTCGGAGCCGCAGAGCTCTGGTTCGAAGGTGTTTCGTTCGTTAATGCCGCGGCCGCGCCATCTTCGTCGAAATTGAAGCGAAACATCATGCGGCATCCAAAGGACGATGGAGAGGAAGGTGGGTGCCCTCCGGATATATTTACCGGATGTCGACAGCATTACAAGATTGAACCAGCTCCCCACTCCTTTCTAGCGCAGCCCGGCCAGGGCACAAGTCGTCATGACCTCACAGCAAGATCTCTGTCTACGTCAGGTTTACAAAGAGCGGTGGGTGCGACCCAGCCTGTCTCCAAGTACATTGTGATGCCCATGTTCACGATCTTCCATGGCCTTTCAAACCTGTCTTGCGTCTGCAGCAATGTCGTGGCATCATCTTTGGCGCCTGCAGCGCCCAATGGTGGGGGTCGTCCATCGTGTTTACTTCCCGCATGCATGGCTATACTATTTTTGCAGTTCCGTTTCAGCATTGTTGGAAAGGCCATGATCCGGAAAATATCCGGTCATGCTCCTGCTGGTTGGTTTCACGGGAGTTACAAACGACGCCTATATATAGTGCTTGCCTGGCGACGTTATTTCCAGAGACAGATCGGCGAGTTCACCGGGCAGAGCCGCGACTGCACCGATGTCTGGCCTCACGGGCGTGGTTGGGTCCAACTGCATCTCGTCCAAGAAAACACGCGTTGGACTGCTACGGCATAGGAAACTCACGGCCAAAGAGAAGCTGTTGCTGGCCCAAGGGGGAACGCACACGTCCGTCCTCGACGTGCTCACGAAAAAGCTTCGCGCCAAGCTGGAGGAACTCATTCCCGTGGAAAACGAGCGGTATGACCGCGCGTTCCGCCTCTTCACGCCAACCGACGTCATCACGCCGCAGTGCTTTCATGCCCTCCTCACGAAGTTCCGCATGTCTGCTAACCGTCACCAAAGCTACGCACTGTTTCACAAGTACGACGTCGATTGCCGAGGGACGCTGGACCGGAACAAGTTTCTCAACGGGGTGTTCCCTGGTCGCCGCAAATCGCAGCCGCCCGCGCAACAGCAGCAACCTCAGCAGTTTGACGACGCTCCCACACCACCCAAGCGAGTTGGGGGCATTGCAGCACGGCCGAAACCACAGCATATCGCCGTAACCAATTCTGTTGCGATGTCGGATGTGGGGATCATGTTGCAAAAGCCGCCACCACGTCATAGACATACAGCGGCAACCGACCGGCTTGCGCACAAACCCATGCTGACACACCACCACCCCGCACGCGAACAGCACGAAACTCCCCTCGGCGACAACATTCCATTTGAGGAAGTTATCAAGCGGATACGGGACAAGATCGACCAGCGGACATCCAAGGCGTCCGATCGATTCCGGCAGGCGTTCAAGATTTTTGCCAAGGCGTCCGGGATCACGCCGGACGAGTTCCACGAAGGTCTCCTGCAGCTCGGGTTCCGCCTCTCAAACGAGCAAAACAAGCAGCTCTTTGACACGTTCGACGTCAACAAGTCTGGCGATCTCGACCTGAACGAGTTTGTCCAAGGCATTTCGCTCGACGACTCGTCCATCAAGTACATCAACGCGCACGTCGAGCGACAGAAGCGCGAAGAAGCGAGGCGGAAGCGGTATCAAATGGCCGTTCAGTCCGTCGAGCGCGCATGGACGATCGAAGACATGGAGCGCAAGCTCCGCGAAAAGATCGAGCAGCACACGTCCAAGTCGTCTGACTGCTTTCGGCAAGCATTCAAAATATTTAAGAAGTCCTGCGGCATTCGGCGGCAAGAGTTCCACGACGCCCTAGCTGAGCTCGGCCTCGACTTGAATCGCGAGCACACGGATAAGTTATTTGCCAAGTACGACATTGACGGGAGCGGGGACATTGACTTGCCCGAGTTTGTGCGGGGCGTCCTCCCGGCAGACTACACGGGAGGCACGTGGGTCGCCGAAGCGGATGAAATGCACCGCATCGAAGCAGAGGTATCGCCGATGCCTTGCCGAGTCACATCATGCAATTGAGTGCCTTCCTCTAGCGCAAGAAACTTCAACCCGACTCGCACCTGAACCGCGTGGAAATCACCGACTGGTCCCTGGACAACATCCAATTCAAAGTTCGCGAAAAGATCACGCAAAAGACCACGCGGTCGTCCGACACGTTCCGCCAAGTGTACAAGATTTTCCAAAAGTCGTCCGGGATCACGTTGGCCGAGTTCCGGCAGGGCTTACTCATCCTTGGGTTCCGACTCAACGACGCCCAAGCGAACGGCCTCTTTAACCGCTACGACACGGACCGGAGCGGCACGATTGACCTGTCGGAATTCTGTCGACACGTGCTCCCCCCCGACTACAATGGCGACGGCGACCACTGGGTGCGTTGCGCATTTGTTTGTTGTGGGGCTGACGTGTCTTGGCGTTCCCAGGGACACACGCCAGAGGAGCACAAGCAGCGCGCGAAGGACGCCATCACGTACGTCGAGCTCACGAAAAACGGTACTGTTCCGGTCCCGACCCCACCGAACCCCATGCGGGGCACCGCCACTCCGACTCGCCCGAGCTCCGCCCCCCAGACGAGGCCCCACTCGGCCTCTAGCAGCCACCAACCCCCCAACCGCCAACGACACTCCACGTACGCCATGAAGCATCGGTTCCACGGCAATTCATCGCAATCGATGCCTAGGAGACCAAGTGACGACGCCAACATTTGGGATGGCGACGCCACCAGCCCTGAAAAACTCCAGTACGTTCGGATTTTGTCCGAGCACGCTGTGCTCACGTGTTGTGCTCGTCAGTACTCGACCGGCATCGGCGCGCCCCGCATCCGCTCGTCCATCCTCTGCCCGCAGCCATCAGTCCCAGCAATCGGGCAACAACCACCCACAGCCGCGCCCCACATCGGCGCGGTCGTGCAGTAGCAGCAGCAGTGTCTCGTACCACGAAAACCCGTTCAAGTCGAAACGTCGGCACTTTTTCCACCATCACAGTCTGTGGCAGCGCAAAGTCAAGTTCCATCGAGAACAGATGCAGCAGCAGCAACAGCAGCCAAACGACCCACCGGGCGACTCTAACGCGGGGGGGACGTCCGACGACCGCGCCGCCAAACCGAATGACCCCCACGAGCTCGATGAGTACGAAGACATTGTCGACGACGGCGACGACGACGACGCTTTCGACAAGGAATCGTACAAAGAGCTCCGTACGCCGTCGAAACCTCGACCAGCGTCGGCTCGCCCATCGTCGGCCAAAGTTGCCAAGCCACCGACTGCGCGCCCTCCGTCCGCCAGAGTTTCGCGGCCACAAACGGCCGCATCCACCGCTTCGTCGACAGGTTCCCGAACGTCGCAGTCCCCACGCGTACGGAGACAGCAGGGTGACGGGAGTGACACATCCAGTCAGTGCAGCAGCCAGGTCCACCAAATCACGTCAGCATCCGACGGTGTGCATCCCGCCAAGTTCAAACCGCGGTTGTACGGGCCTGGTTTCAAGAAGATGTTTCTGCAGCTTGCCAAGGAACGACTGGACCAGGAGCGATAGAAGTTCGATCCATTGGAACGTGTCGAGCCGGGCCCGACACAGTGTTAGTTAATAGAGTTGGGTCCACAGCCAGAACACGACATGGTTGATGAAATCCCGTAGCGTCTTGCGCTGCTCCGGGGACAGCATTCCGTTGGGTGGTGCGTCCCGCCGACAAATTTCCATCTCGACATGGGATGTCGCGTCGTGCTGTATGTGGATCATAATGTCGCGCGCGCCGACGCACATGAGGAGGACGTGCCGCGTGGCCTGGAAGTGATACTCGCGCATGGTTTCCTAGACAACGTCCGCCGCCGTCAACCCGTGCGCGAATTTCGGAAACCAACCTTGTGCACGGCCTCCAACAGCGACGCGAATTGGTGCCACGGCACAGGAATCTTCAACAGGTCACCCAGAATTGGATCGATGCTATCACCGTGCGTCAAGGCGCGGATAATCTCAAATATCGCTTGACACACGTACGAGACAAACGGCGTCCGCACGGACAATGCCAAGCATTCTTCCAACTGTTCCGGACCGACCTCAACCACCCAATTCGCCGGCAGGTGCATTTGTGTTTGCACAGCGAGCGACTTGCCCGAACAAAGCAATTGCGACCACAAAACGTCGCGACGGTAATCCACTTGGGCAGTCTTCACCAGCTCGACGATAAATTTCTACAGCACACGTCCGTAACATGGCATGCCCCTCGGAAGGGACGAAAGGTCCTTTTGACGAAAGAACGAGTCGTACCTCGACTTCGGCGACGAGCTCGGTCGTCAGGAACGGGTTGTGGTGCATATGGAGGGCAAAGGCCTTGACCGTGTCTGGACCGATGCTTGTCAGTAGCAGCGAGTGCGGACACTCGACGTTCGCGTTCACGTTGCGGAGGAATTGTCCTGTTACGGAGCGGGCCGCAATGGCATTCGGGGTCCCAAACACGAGCAAATCACTCACGTAATAGCGTTTCGCATGGCACGCAATGTACCGAATCAAGACAGACACGTCCATCCCGACATGCACGTCAAGTTCAAACGCTGTGATGCAATGGTTGGCGCCGGTCGGGGGCGACGGATGCTTGGCCACGAGGGCGTCCATGCCGTGCGTGACATGGCGCAAGTCTGTTGCGGTTTGCAAGTGCGTTTTCAGCTGGTCTTTCGTCGTCGACAGCGTCTTCAGCAAGTACGTGTGAAAGTCGGCCACGGCGAAGTCGTACACCATGGGCTGTAGATGTAACAACGTGTGGACAAAGTGCATCGTGTGCACGACTTGGTCGCCGGTCAACTGGACATAGCTCGACTGGGGCAGGTGCCGCCCGGCGTCAAGACTCACGACGTCACGCTCCGATACAAAATACGCTCGGACACTCATCCCGTTGCTGCTCCCGTCGGCAATGCCGACAAGGACAAGCCCTTCTGTTTCTTTCTTGACGAAGACGACGCCTGACGACGGCTTGTGCAGTTCAGCAAAGCCCGCACGCTCCAAATGACGTGCGAGAACTGAGCGGAAAGCTCGCGCATGGTCCATGTAAAGCGTCGCCCGGCGTGTCGCGACTTGTGTGATCACTGCGCGCAAGGGGCTGTCCGTGGACGGCGCCGTGGTGGCTTTGGTTGCACCTTGGACGCCATGGCACAGAAAGTCCACGTGGAGGCGACCCACCGCCGCGTACACACTATTGAAAATGAACTGAATCTCGTACGACAGCAATGTAAGCATGTCGCTGATATGGCCCAGCGCGACGTCGGACGGAGTCGACGGCCACACGCCCGAGTAGCTCACGACAAAGTGGCGATGCAGCATCACTCGACCGCAGCCCATGAGCTGGTCGACTGCGTACGACGGAATTGAATGCTCCGTCATCGATTCTTGGGACATGAGCGACTTGAACAGGTCGTACACTTGGTTGTACCGCATGCGGTGCTGGTCGTGAAAGTCGAGGGCCCACCGAAGTTTCGCGCCGTGATACGACAACGGATCGCTCGCTTTGAGCAGTTCGTTGCGTTCGTTCCGATTATAATGACTGAACGACGATGGCAGGAGCGTTCGAAGCGTATGGCGCCACAAATGCTCTACGCGACACCAACGCCATTCCATCATTTCACATCGATCGCACGCAGGTTGATCGCTTTGGACCGATCGCGATGACGTACCGTTGCATGTGCTCGGCGTTTTTTCCGAGTTGGACAAGCGCCGAATTGGCGGAAGCACACTCGGTGGCTTGGCAGACGGGACTGCGGCCACGGGTGCCGACGCCGTCGTTGAGTGTTTTGCTGGAGTTCCTGTATTGTTGGTAGCTTTGGACGACCGAGGGGCCATCATATCCATGTTTAACGTCAACGTCCATGCAGGTGGCAGTTTGCTCTCCGAATCGTCTGGAGCAGCTGTCGCAGCGACAGGTACTGGTTTTACAACACCTCGAGCCCGGGCTCGGGCCGCCATGAGCGCATTGGTGGCATTTGGCGGGACATTTGCCTTTCGGACGGCAGCTGCCGTGGTCGGGGGAGGGTTGGCGACGCCAGTGCGGGGCAGAGGGGGACCGACGGGGGTATTCATGGAAGGGACAGGAAGGGCATTGGCTTCTGTCTTTTCCGACGTCGAGCTGCTTGTTCCGCGTGGCCGCGCATGGATGTCTTCGATCGGTGTTCCGGTTTCTCGAAGGTACTCGACAAGGCCCATGCCTTCGATAGCTCGGTTCAGCGTTGACGTCACGAGCGCGGGTGGGGTATTGTAATCGAGTAGGACGTGAAACACCTGCGGCGTGAACGCAATCACAGTGGAGGTGAAGTCTCGTCCAGTCCATGCAGGGGCCTTTCCCAAAATGGACGGCGGCCGAACAACCATGGCGCTAGGCTGGAGCATCGTACACGCTGTGGGGGCAGCCAAAGTGTACCCTCGTTTCTGGAACAAGATGCTGCGAAGAAGAGTTTGGCGGAGAGTGCACCACCCGAGCGCCTTGGCGAACCCCGTGCTGAGGATGTCCAGGACGTGGGGGTGGCAGTTGTAGCTGGCAAATACGAGCCCTTTGTGCGTTAACTCGACTTGGTAAAACACATGCCGCGGGTGCGAAAGAACCGTCGAATGCAGCATCGTGTCGTGGTCGTGCACGTCCTTGGCATTGTGTTGGCGAGGGGACACCATCGGCGAGTTGAGCGACGTCGAGCTTGTGTCCACGGACTGAAGCGACGACGCAGAAAACGACTTGCTCAGTCGCATGCTGTCCGATTCGTCAAACGTGAATGCACTGCCTTCGCCCATGGGACAGACAAACGTGTACGCGGTTGTAAAACTGTACGTGGTAGCATGCAGCATCGAGTGGGCGTTTTTGTCCACCAAATCGTACGGTTCATACGGCACGTCGGTGTCCGGTCGAAAGAAAACGTGTGGTCTACAACAACCCATCAGAAAACCGCACGACACGATGCCGCCGAGTCGTACTGAACGTTTGATGGCAGCCGCTCAAACGGGACGGCCAGTTGCTTGACGACATGCTCCATGTCGTAGGAAGGAACGATATCGCGCTGTTGCATCATGGCGATCGTCGTTGCGGACAAGTGGCCAGCCTTGTCCATCAACTTGCGAAGCTCGCGAACTGTCTCGACCGAGTAGTGATACGACGTCTGCGGGGTTGTCGTCCGGCTAAGGATCGCCTCCATTGCGTATTCGTACAGCGCCTAGGCAGGTTGTTGCTCTTTTCATTCTGGAGTCGTTGGTACAGGGAGTGAACCTGGTGCACTGCTGTCGTCAGCACTTCCTGCATCAAGTCGGCGCTCAGTTGACCTCGCACATACGCTCGCCACCGCACATATTGAGTGGACTGCGGGAACTGTGGCCACGACGTCAGCACCTTGGACCACAGCGTCGATGTACCACGTCCTCCTTCTACAATCCTCGTGTGAAAAGCATTGCCAAGTATCGTCGAGCCCGCGCTGTGTACGATGGGAAATGGCCCACGGACACAACACAGACCACACATGTGGAAGGACGTGTGGAGCATTACCAGTAGGAACAGAGTCCATGACATCCAGCATCACCCATGCCAGACCTTTGCCGAGACTTGCGACAAACCCCGATCGACCGCTCAGTTCTGGATTCACGTTGAACACAAACGACAACAGCGTCACGTCTTCTAGGTGTCCCAACGAAGTCGTCGAATTGAACAGGTCGGTCGCCACGGAAGGATGGGACGACAAAGCGATCTTGGGATCGTCGATCGAGTCGACGAGGGGCGCGAGTCGAATGTATGGCGTTTCCACGAGTTTTTCCTTGACAAAGTGCAAAAACAAGACGCTGTCGACCGCCGGGACTGCTTGCGAACCGGAAAACGTCGGCGTGGCCACGTCCGGCACGAGAAACTCAAAGTCGGACGTCGTGAGTTTGTTTTGACGGGACGACGACGACGTCGACGATGCTCCAGACGAATGGAGCGTTCGCGGTGCAGCTTTCATCGTGGGCATGGCTTTCATGAGAATGCGAAGGAGGGTGTCGTCCAGCTTCTGCTCCAGCACGCGACACAGTTCGACCGTGATCTCTTCGCTCGGCTCTCGAATCCCAAACACTTGTAGCTCGATTGCAGACAACGAACTGGACGAGCCTTGGCTGTGCGGATGCATCTGCTGTTTGTCTGCGGGCACCACCGATTTATCCACCAACGTCATGTAAAACACATGACCTCGCTTGTCGCGGTACACAAACAAGTGATGACGATTGTGGACCTGGAACTGCTCGAGCGCGGACGAGCACAGCATGTTGAGTGCCAAGTGCGGCACCAACCGAGACTTTAGAACGAACTGCGTCTGGAACTTGAGCGGGCATTCAAATTGGCCGGGCCAAAAGAATATCGCGGGCGACAACGTTGACACCGCGCTTCCCGGCGACGCAGGGTCAAACAGGTTATTGCTGCTGCTTCGAGACGTCAGTGGCGTTCCTTTGGTCGACGACGTGGCCGACACTAACGTCGTTGACGAGTTGTGCGGTGGGGGCAGCAGCAGCGGACTGCATGATCGCGTTTCGTGCATTTGCTGCAACAGGAGAAACTGGTTCACTTGCGTCACAGTCGCGGCAATCCCAAGGTGCAATCTTGTGAGGAGACTAAGTTCGTCGAGTCCAGAGGTCGAACCGCCAAGGGTCGACGTTGGCGGGATGTGTAAATGGAGGCAGACCGAGTCGACGGCGACGGTGAAGTATGCCCAATATCGGATCGGCTCGCCATCCCCTTCGATGATGAAGTATACTTGATCGCACCGGACGAGTTGCAGCCATGGATTGTCGGACAACAAATGATCGTGGAACAAGTGCAGCGTTGGCCAGTCGGGGAGTTCCAGCGGCAGGAACGCCAATGGGTAGTGCACTTGGCGGACATAGGCGGGAGGAAGCTCGTCAAAGAGCAGCCGAATAAACGCGCCTAGTGGGGGACTCTCCAGCGATCGCGGGGGCAGGCACTGCAAGATCGCCAGGACGTGTTGCGCGCACAGTTCTTGGATTGAGTTGCGAAGGCGGTGGAGGACTGGTGGGAGTTTGGTCGGCTGATGGGGGTCTTGCGTTTCTGGCGCAAGAGTCATCACGACTAGTCGCAGGTACAGCCGCGGATGGTGCGAATCTTTGAGCTTGTTGGACAGCCACAGCACGCGATCGATGAGCGACATGGACAGGTCGTCAGCTGCCGCCAAATTGTGTTGCGCCATGTTTCGCAACACGTCTGTGAGGTGGTTGGACTCGCTGAGAACGCCAACGCCCTTGGACCTGGGAGGACCAGTGGACGACGACGAGGACTCGGTCGGCGTCGGAATCCACGATGACGCATCGTCTTGCCAGCACTCAAACCGCACAAAGAACGTCGATGTCTGTTCAGCCTCGACCGAATCGTTAATCGGGGAAGCACCGTCGTCGTCGTTGTGGAGATGGCTTTCCGTCGTTTCATCTTCGTAGTCGGCAACCGCGCCGGTGAAGTAGTACCATTGTGTTTGCGGGATGGAGGTAAGCGACACGGAGATCAACTCGGATAGCGCCATGTTCAACGACACAGACGGCAAGAGATGCGCTCCATTGCCGCCGCCGGCCCTGTCGGCCTCCAGCGGTAACATCGCGTGTAGCCGCGTGACGTCGACATCCAACGGCACATGCACACAACTCCAAAGCGCTTGAAGCAGATCACACGGCTGAATGTGCGCGCCGCTTCGTAGCGCATGGTACACGCCATGGGAAAAGTTAAGTTTGTGGGCAGCTCGAATCTGCCCCACAAACGCATCGAGATCGGGAGTTCGTTTTGCCGGTGCCACTGGAAGGTGTTGAGGTTTGAGCGGCAAGGAGCATTCGTAAAGCTGAATCGGCAACACGTCAAACGGAACGCTTCGGCTGGTATCGTCGACGTGATGGATGGTCGTGTCGTTGGACATCCATTGTCGCCGTTGCTCAAACCAGAGCAAGTCGTGCATCTTCATGTGCCCGGCGTGGGGCGACAACGCAGTCGAAGACGACAGGCCGGCGAGCCATTTCAGGCGCTCGTTCTCGTCCTCCGACCCGAGGGACACGTGGGAATCGTGTGGAGGCGCCGACTCCACTTGATGTGTCGTCTGTGTCCGATTCGTTTCCAGCATTGGAATAAACGCAAGTAGAAGCGTGGATTCACCGACGACTTTGGCAAAGCATCGACCCGGCGGTGGTGGCATCATCGTCGAGTTGGCCGAAAACGAGCTGGCTGTCGACGGGGAGATCCACAGCGGGCCGGACGGGACGTGCGGCGGCGGGTTGAATTCTGTCCAGGCGACTTCGCAGTCGGCAAGGCGGACAAACGAATCCAGCACCATCGAATGCAAGTGTTCGTTGGCTTTATAGTCATCCGCCATGTACAGCAGGAACCGCTCCGTGCTGGGGGATGTCGTCGTCATCAATCGCGCGGCGCTAAACGGCGAGTTGTGGACGGGGAACCCATTGAGTGGCTCGGATAACACAACTTCGGCCGGAGGCTCGACGATGCGCATGCCGTCCTTCGTTGCCTGGACAATGCTGTGGAACGTCAGGAGGCAGGAGAGCACGTGTAAATCGGCTTGGTACAGTTGGTGCTGCATTTGTTCAAACCACTGCGTGTCAGTCAGCATGGTCGACACGTCCTGGTGGGTCGTCTGCGGCGTGGTCAAGGCTGGCGGGGGGGTTCCAAAAATCTGCGGTGGGCAGTTCGTGGTGGGCGCGATGGGTGGTTCAGAAAGCGGATCGATCATCCCCGTCACAGGTTCCATCCAAAACGACGTCATGACGGTCGACTCTGACACGGCCGCGATCGCACACTGGTACAACGCTGTCGTCGGGCGACCGCTATTCCACACAACCACCTCCTGCACGAGCAAGACGAATGTTGGCGTGGCTTGAAGCATCACGAGCCCCCCTTCGTTCTGTCGATTCAACTGCAGCCTTTGAATTGCTTCTTCTTGGTGCTGCGATGGAATATGCCATAACCATACAACGTGCCACATGGATGCGGCAAATACTGGTGTCGACACCCCCGATCCGCCACAACAACTTGGAGGATGTGTTAGCGCGGCGACGGGCTGCTCGGGCGCGATGAGCCAAGTCAGGGCCTGTGGTTCCAAGAGCAGTCTCTGGATGAGTCGGTGGCAAACGACGAGTCCCGTTCCGGTGCTGGAACTTGTCGTGGAATGTAGTAAACGCTTGAGTTCTGCCAGCACCGCCTTGCGAATGGCTGTCTTTGCCGCGTAAAACGCGACGTGAACTACGACCATGGCCGACGTGGTGGACCGTTCGAGCCGTACAAAGCAAACTGCTTTCTTCTGGGCAGGCGCTGTGGTCGCGGCGGCCGCGGCCAAGGAAATGAGCGACCCACGTTGCTTTCGATTTACGGTGGACTTTGTGCTTGCAGACGCTGCGGTTTTCGTGGCCATCGACGACTGCATTTGTTGCGAAAACGAAGATTTCAACGGCGACCCCGACGTTCCCGACGCAGTGTCGTTCGCGAGGAACTTTAGATAGTTGTTCGGACTGAGCTGCATCGTGGCCCACTTGTGCAGCGCATCCGCAGCGACGAACGACGTGTCGTTCTCAGCCGCCCAGTCGACGTCGATGAGTTCAAAGCGCTCGACGTGAAACCATCGGTGCCACAGCAGTGGGGACAGGTCGCCGAGCAGGGTGAACACAGGATGCGCTGAAGTCACGGCCGTCGCTGTCCTAGAAAACAAGTGCAAAATCGGTTTGGTCTCGGTATCCAGCGTCGCTTGCATTTGGATGGCCGACATGAGATGCAGCAAAATGCGGTCGCGTTCATGCAGGTCTTTCAAAAACGTGTGGAGCGCTTTCGTGGTCGGGCTGCTATAAGGCATCAACATGTTCGTGGCCGCTGCCGATCGATCCATGGACGACGTCCCGCTCGACACCCCGCCAGACGACGACGCGCCACCCGACACGGCGGCGTTCCCGCCCGACGAGTTGCCGCCATTGGCAGCGTTCGAGTTACCGTCATAGTGAGCGTTCCCACGTTGTTTGGTGGCAAATTCGTCAAGAAACTTGGCCGGCGCCATCACGTCCACACGAAGTGTCATGTCCGTCGACGTGAAGTTGGCCGCGACCGTGTACTCGAGCCAAATGTCCGATTTCCACTGAAGCAGGCACGACACGACGAGCATCGGGTCAACTTGGACCTTGGAGATGTAGAAGCCTTCCTGGAGCCGCGCTTGGACGATTTTGAGCACACTGCCGCGCATCTTGTATTCGTGGATCTTTTCCCGGAACAATCGAAGAGGGCGGAACGCATTCAGGGCGGCCAACGGCTCAGCGTCGACCACGCGTGGCATGTCCCACCTGAGGGCTCGTGGCAAGACGAGCGACGGTTTGAAAAACAGCACTGGCTGCAGCCCGTTTGCGCAGAGAGGATGCGGCGTGGTCTTGGACAGCAAGCGGAGAGTCGGGACATCGAAGAGGGAACCTCCCGTCGCGTCGGCGAGGAAGCGCAGGAGGTCCGTATCCGGGACGTACCCAAAGGCGCACTGGGGCTGGTATCCCCCACTTATCTAACACGGATCGCATGAGAGACTGCGTCAACACTGGGACCATCATACACACGTAGAACACCAAAACCGAGGCAGAGGTCAAAGCGGCAGCTGTACCTGGATGGCATGGCATTGAATATTGTGTCGCGCAAGCTGCATCATGAGGTCGTCGTACGCGTACATGTTGGGCAGATCGACGACACCATCAGTGACAAGAAACAGCATGGGCGATGCGTCGTGGGGCAGCGAGTTAAGTGCGAAGATAGCGTTCTGGAGCGAGGTGGCGAGGGACGTCGGGTCAGAGAACACGCTCGATAGCGCCGGAGGCTGCTTGGCCCAGTCGTCTTCAAGAAGTTGGAGGCGGTACTTGATAAGTCCCAGAACATCACGAACATTGGCCGCATTGAGCGTGACGTTTTGAACCAGCACGCAGAGCGAATCCACCATGGCGCCTTGTACGATGACGGACAAGTAGATGTCGGGAAAGACGAACGAGCCCGCCGTTGGTGGCGGCGACGATAGCTGCTGGACGAGTCCATGCAGCAACAAGTCGATTGCTTGAAACGCCATGTCCAAGATCAGAGTCCCGGAGATCGGGTCAATGGACAGCGTCGACGGACTCGCGTCCAGACACACTACGACGCGGTACTTTTGATAAGAAAGGTACAGATTTGTTTGCGGCGCCACATGGAGGCGAAAGTCGGCCGCATCGGACGCAGGGGACGCTTGGACGATTGTCGCCATGCCCTTCGGCAACGCTTGCGTTTCCGGTACGAAGGACACATCCACCATATGCACCTCTTCTTCAACGCTCATGGCATGCATGAACTGCTTCGTCAATGTATGCAGCGTCGAGAGAGGCATGGTTGAAGTGGAGGCGTCAGGTGACGTTCGGCGCGGCGCAAGCAACAACTGTCGCAGGTGCCAAAGCGACAAGGCAGGGCCGTCAAAGTGGGAGAAGTCCTCTGCCTGAAGGTGCAGCTCGGACACCTGCGGCGAGTACATCGCAGACTCCTTTAGCTCCTTCTCCAAGCTGTCATCGTCCCCGTCATCTATCATGGTGGGACGCGTTCAACACTTCGCCGCATTTGAGCAAAACGATGGTACGGATAACATCGTACTTATCCGTCCATCTTGTTTTCGAAAGGTGCGCACGATGGAGGAGGACGACACAGGTCATGCAGGTCCTTGAAGGCGTCCCTGGCGTCAGCTGGGAGTCCTCTACAAGATGCAGCCCCTTGAAATGCAGAAATCATCATTGAATGCGTGAACACGTCAGCTGCGAACTCAACCTCAGCAGTGCATTGAGAGGTCCAACTTATAGGCCGGTGCCCTCATTACGCTTAGTAGCTGGAAATCGTAATGGCAACCGAGATCTGGCGACCTCGACGCCGTAGTCACTCACTCAGGTGTCGTTTGCTTTGACCCGCCAATCTGGATAAGGAGACCAGTCCAAGCTTCGTCGACGTTCCGATTTGTGGACGTTTGTGGGTCGTACCCTCCAGCGCGCTGCTGCAGTGCACGCAGTTGTTTCCTACACACGTTGATACAGTCAGTAGCGCGGGTAACATTGGAACACATACGAGTCGGCAGCGCCATGGCCCTTCTTCCCGCCGTGGACAGGCACGGGTTGCGGCCCGCCGCCAAAGAAACCTGGCTGAAACCCGATCATGGCTGCTTCCATCTCGGCGCTGAGCGGCTGGTCAATAGGGATGGCAGTCGTGGGGTTCACAACCGCTTCGACATCCTTTTCATCGCGTTCCCCCAGTGCGACCTCCATGAGTTGTGCTTTATGCCGCTGCACGTCCATCAGGAACTTGTTGTCTTCTTGTTGCTGGACTCGGCGGCGGTCGTCGGCAACACGGCGCTGCTCCTCGATGACATGCAGAATGCGTCGCTCTTCCTCAGCCTTCTTGGCTTCGTTCGCGTTGATAAGAAGCGAATTCTCTTGCTTGTATTGCTTCCATTTGGCATTTGCCGCATCTTTGACTGCATCGTCTTCACTGAGGAGGTCGAAAACTGCACAAACGCGGTCAGTTCCTCCACAAGAAGCAGTCCTTGGCAACGTACTCAAGGCCTCAACGTCTTCCAAATACGCATTGTACTCGTCCAGTGAGTTGAAATCTTCCCCGGTCTTGTTGTACGTCTTCAGGACCTTCTTCCGAATCGTGACATCTTTGTTAAAGTCCTGCTCTTCCTTGGTCTTTTCCTGCAGTTGCGACTTCTTCACGAGCTTCCCGCATCCTGGTTTGGCGCAGGTGATTTCTCTGTGGTTTTGAAACTCGAGCTTCACGCACCGATCGCAGCTACTCGCAGGTCAACGAAAGGATGCTTTGCACGGAGTCGATTGCATATATACGTACTAGCGATGGCCGCACTTGGAGATACGCATCTTCATCGTCGTGTTCAGCACGTTTGCGTCGTCTTCGAGCGCCGTCCGGCAGACACAGCATCGCGCGGCGAAGTCATCCTCCACAAGCATGGTCGATCAAGAATATGTGATCTTGGCACTAATAAGGACACCATTTTGGCCAATAGAGGGTCGTAGCATGAGTGGAAGGATTTCAATTGGTGGGATTATTTTTTTATAGCCAGTGAATGACTATCATGTGATTCAATGCAAATCAATTGGACAAAATACATTTTCATGAGCTCGTTGAGCAACTTGGAAGTGCAACCGCTTGCGCTGTGCGCGGCGGCGCCAACAACCTCAGCTACATTCGTGGCTTATGTCCATCAAATCCACCAGGACAAGCTGAAGGACAAGAAGCATTCTTCCATATGGATAGGCGATCGAAGTCTCCCTTACTTCAAGCTTCACGCATGGTCGGACGACAGCACAGCCGTGGGGCGTCGACTCCAAGCCGGGGATATCGTGTGCTTTCAAGACATTTCAATCCGCTGCTTCCGTGGCAACAACGAAGCCCACTTGACGACGCATTCTACGTACACAGTGTTCGTTCGGCAGAACCAGTTCCAAGACGTGCCGTCTCAACAGCAATGCGTTCCATTCTCTGTCGTCATGCCCGTAGTCGACTGGTCGAAGGAACTGCATGCAAGGGGCGTCGGATTTGGCCAGCACGGTAGCGTCTCCACCGTGAGTCTCAAGGACTTGCGTGAGAACATGCTCGTCCACATTGTCTGCCGTCTCCGCCCGATGCATCCGCACGACGCATTTCAATCCACTTCTGCAGTAGACGACGACCCCAAGTTGTCTGCACAGCTCCGGCAACTTGTCATGGTGGATGGACCTGATGACGGGATGATTCTGAATGTCTGGCACGACCATTTTGATCTGCGCACCATTGCGTTCCATACCCTCGTCGAAGTCCGACACGTCGTCATTTCGTACAACACGCTTCGTCACTCATTGATGGCCAACACGACGGGAGAGTCGTCCATACTTCCGTTTCCGCACTCTCCATGCGCCAATCCGCATGAGTCAAACGTTTCCTCCATGCTGGCGCCGCTCGTCACGTGCGATTCCTTCGACGAAGCCGCCGACAGCCTTGTCCACGGCCGTCTGGTCGTACGAGATGTCGTAGTGGAATCGCTGGAACTATCGATTGCGCCGTCCCCGTCGCCTTCCTGGCCAGTGGGTCTACTCATTGAAGGCTACTGCGCTTGGTGCGAATGCTCATTACCTGAGCAGCCTCTGGAGGTCGTCCCGCGTCTTTATGGCCCTTGCGTGAATCGTTGCCAAGGGTCCAAGTCGTTGCGGTGGCGCTACCGCCCGGCGGTCATGTACGTTCGAGATCGACTGGGAAACACGACGCGTCTGCGCGTGCAAGACGCAGCCATGCAGGCATTGGTTGGGCACATTCCAGCCGCCACGATCGCCGAGAACCATCCTAAATTGACACCGCTCATACATGACGCGCGTGCAACCGTGCGGTTGTTGCTGCAAGCACTTGTCGATGACCAACGCGCCGTGGACATTCAAGTGTACTCGCATTATATTGGCGGCGATCGACACAGGATTCGATCGAGTCGCGACGCGAGGTATTCGTTCGTGGCACTGCATGCGACAGTATGGCCTTGAAAGATATGGTGCGAGTGGAAGGCAGCGGTCCTGTGTCTCCGATGAGAGCTGATCTTGGTACGGCATCGAAATGGTGGCATGGGAACCGGCCCCGACTGTTGAGATCCATAGTCTATCGGCATATTCTGTACCCAAGGCGGCAGAAGACTGCGAACGAATCCATCAAACACTTGTGGCGACGCAATCGCCGAAGTGCCGTGGACGACGCTGGTTGTGGACCAAATTAGATGCGACGCTGTCCCGACGCCAATTTTCAAACACTGCATGGACTTTACATCAATTAACATGGTTCGTTGTTGCCTCGCCGACAAGCAAATCTCAAGCGGTCGTGACGTTACGAATCTTAAACTTGGTGATGGACACCGTGTCGTTGTAGCAGTTGCTCGTGGCGACGACGGCGGGGGGGCACTTGATCGGCGTGGCCGGTCCGTACTGCGCTTCCCACGGCTGTTGCTGGTACACAAACGGCTTGTTTTTGCCCCAGCACGTGAACACTTCGTAGAGAGCATCTCCGCGGCACTGTAGGATCGCGTCCAGTCCAAGAGCGGCGAATGCGTCGACAATCACCTTCTTCTTCACAACCTTGCCAATGTTGTCCGTGATGGCACGAGGGGTGCCAATGTACTTGGTGATCTGCACTGCGGAATTCAAATAGTCCGCTTCCAACGCCCCCGCGCACGGCTGGTCGAAGATGGGCACGACCGCGCTAGGGTTGGGCGCGGTCGCATCCCACATGTCGGTCGCGCTCTTGGTAAACTGATACGGGAAGTACTTCATCAAGGCTTCACGACCAACGCGGTCGATCGCTTCCTTGGAGAACGTCGTCGGTGTTTTCGAGCACGGCACGGACGCCGCGGCAGGCGCCGACGGGCGACCGTCTTCCAGGAACATCATTTGAGGGGTCGCATTGTTGTACACGGCAAACATACGTCCGGCGACGAGGTTGTCGATCATGTATGGCGTCGGGTACCAGCACAAGGCGGCGCACATACAGCTGCATTGCTCGCCGTACCACGAGCTCGAGTAGATCCAAAGGTCTTGCGATCCCCATTCCTTGACTTCGGTGGGGACAGCTTCGTACGACAGCACGGCCGTCGCGGCAACGGCAAGAGCGACCACGGACGGAAACATCATGGCAATCGATCAATGGATGGCTTGGCGCAAGCAAATCTGGCAATGACCCGGTGTACAAAGTGTCGCTGCGACGGCCCTCGCATCTGAGTTGTACTCAGACCGACCAAGGTTTGCGCCCCAACCCAACGCGCGTGAATCAGACAAGAGAGGCGGAGCAGCCGCGTCCCCACCGACTCAACAAGTCTACAAGTGTGTGGTTGGGGAACCAGCGAATTCCAGGCCGTCGTCCCGAAAGGCATTGCCTTTCGTACGGCCGCAAAACCGAGTGCCTGTCGTCTGTCCAAACGCGGATCCAAGCTTGCAGTGTCGTCAGGTGAACTGTCTTATCCCTTCGTCGGGAAAAGCGGCAGGTAGGCCATCAGACCGTCGACCTCCCAGGCACCATGCTTGCGCGAACGACGGACATGTACTGCCTTGAGCGAAATTCACGGATTTCCCCAGAGTCATCCAAAACAGTCTGGTCGGTGGTTGTCACCCATAAACATCAAGCAAAATAGCATCTTAGCCCATGATTGGCCAAATATACTTCCGCACCTTTCTCTGATTGGATCAGACCCAGTGTCAGTTCGTGATTGGTCACATACAGTTTACCCCCTGCAATTGGAACAGTGTGAACGACAGCGTTGCCTTGCTCGGAACCGAGTCCTCTTGCAGCCCGCTCGACGCTGTTGCGTAGTTATTGCAAGGTTTCGGCTCCTCCATGCGTTGTAGATATTGGACGTTGTATCTTCAATTGAAGAGGGAAGAAGAAAGATCGAATGAACATTATGATGATACAGTAAATACAGGTCCGTGCACAGGGCAATCCCTCTAAAATCCAGCTGTGGAACTGGTTTGTGCACACTCATTTACTACGTAGTATAAAAATATGTCGACGATTGCATGGGATCACACGTATTCTATAGAGGGCGTCCCACCGACTCCGAGGACCTCATGTTACAGAAATCTTTCGCCCTTCACGCACAATGAGCTACTACTACTCGAAGGACTTGGACAAGGTCAGCTAACTATTTTGCTCAAGTCACCACTCCGTAAGGCGCGGAAGTATCCGCCGACGGTCAGCTCTTGCATGTGAGGAAACCAGTCATTTCTATTGGCACAGGATTCCAGCTTCGTTTAGTCAAGGTTAAAAACTGCATATTTTCTACATCTGTTCTCCCAATCAGTGCACTTGGCTGGCATTTGAACTGTTGTCACCCTAGGTCGTGTGTGCATGCTGCATACAAATTTCAAAATTCTCTTGCGAACTGTGCGTTGTCTCTCGTCACGATAGAAGTGGCGAAGTTTGTCGCAGGAGTGGTGAAAATTCCCCAGAACAGGTCAAGTGTGCTAGCTGGTGCACCACCGCCACCCTCCCAACGCCCTCTTTATGAACACGGCGGGCACCTCCCGAGCTGCTTGGATGGTCGGACACAGTCGCGTCAGAGAGGACGGTTCAGCAGTTGGCTATAGGGTGGAAAAAACGCTGTTGCGCTGGTGGCAAAATAGTGGGATAGAGGTAGTTGTCGCGCTTGGTTTTAGTCGGAGGGAATGAGTGACGTGGCGATGGACATGCAGTCGATCGTGGTGGCATCTTTTGACGGCCCAAACGCACACATCCGCCACACCTCGAGCTTGAACTTCAAAATGACCAATCAGGATGCTCGGTTCTGGATCTTGAAGGGGCACAAGTTTCCAAATCCAATTGTGTTGGGACACGATGACCGACAACGCGGCATCTCGAGTACGCTCTGTTGCGATGCACGCATGTTGTGACCACTATGGCCTATGTAGGACCTGCAAAACATCAGAGACATCTTGCATCCAGAACCTTCGCCGTACGCACTTCAGCCGTATCACCTTGCCAAAGGGAAGAAGCGGTCGAGACCGCCGGCGATGCTACGTCCGCTTCCTTCGAACCGAACGTATGACCCAGCACTTGTCCAAAATTTAGTGATCAGCGAAAACATCGTGCTCGACGCAATCCTCCGACGTGAAGATGCACTCGAGCAGACCAAGTCCCTTCTGCACAATGCACGCCAATTGCCTGTCCACGACATTCACAAACTACGGCTACAGTGCTGCATGGCGACAGTGAACGTTCTCTTGGCAATTCGAGATTGGCGGCAACAATTGGCAGCCATTCAATCGTTTGGCCGAATCTTCCACTGGAACGGAGTCTCGTACATCCACAAACTGACTACAGATGTCCCGACAATCAAGCAAACCCTCGTCGCGACTGAGTCGCCCACCGCCATGCCAAATCCATTCTTCCTTCCGTGCACCCTTGAAAGTTTGCTTGTCCCAAACGCCGATCGCATCGACTTTTTGGATGCCGACACCGCCCAGCGCCTCCACGCTGCCGCCAAGTTCTTGTTTCATGACACGGAATTCACCCAACTGTGGAAAGAATCGACTGCATTGACCTCGACTCTGCACCGTTCCCCCATTCGCCAACACGCCAAGTCGACGCACCCTGTCCACCCATTCGTGGACAAGATCCACGCCTCTCAGGTCGAAGCTCTCCAGCTCAGCGTGCTCTGGGACACGTCGCCAGGCTTTGGCCGGCTCTGCCAAGCTTTTCTGCACCATGTTTGTCTTGACATACGGTGGAACCCCCAACACTTCTTGAACTCGCTGAAGTCCCTTCAAGTGGCCGACGTGAGTTCTTCTGCCGAGATGGCCCTGGTGGGTCTATTTTCGAGCCACCCATCATGCCATCCACTGAATCTGTTCAGAGATCACGTCACTGCTGCGTACTTGAGTCTCTTTTTGCTCCACCTTACACTCCAGTGCGTCAACCGCAGTACGACCACGCCATGTCCAATTCTTGAAATACTAACGCCTCCATCCAGAGCGATGTCCCCAAGTTTATGCAAGTGATGCTCACTGCACGTCGTTGCCCTTCGAAGCATTCCCAACTCGAACGATGCGTGCGGTGATCCGTGGCGCTCTGGTACAATGTCGACCTTCGTCGAGTGGAAGGGTAGTGATCACGGTGGCCAGCCCCAGCTACGTGTCGGTTCACTCCATGACTGCCGATGACTTCCTCGACATGACGCAACCTTCATCAAACACACCTACCGCTACTTTATGTACTCTGACACCACCCAGTCCATCATGCTGGGCGTGGATTTCTGCCGTCCTCAACCAGCATTCACTGTGCCAACACCCAGCGCCTCGCGCGGCCTCTGGGGCCGTGTTGGTGGGAGTCGTTCGAGCAGATGCAGAAGGATTGCACGGTGTTCGATTGGGGTCTATGGACGCCTTCCCCACTACAACATTGGCTCAAGCAAGAGCATACATCGACGCCAATTACTTCCTCGTACGTGGTCCGGTCATCATTATCGATAGCTCCTCGAAGGTGCCGTGAAACGAGTTACCGTGATAGGAGCGTCCAACTCCGTTCCAGTTTTTGTACCGAGGCAGCCATTGCCCCGTGGGTCAAGAGAAGTTTCGAAGTGTCGTGGATGGCATCCACATGGCAAACGACCCAACGCTAGTCCTGTGTTCGATAAAGCCACCGTCGACACACTCGATGCCAGGGCGACGCAAACATACCAAAGCCGTGCGCATGGTCGCCCATCTACTCCACATTCCGATCGCCCGGGCGCTCGAAGAACAGCGTGTCCGGGAAGAACAGGCGCGGCTGGACGCGCTAGCTCGACTGCCCCGTCCAAAAACATCTCTCTGCATGATGGTTCAGGTCCGTTCTTGTTCCGACTGCTGCTTCGTGACGATGGTCTCCCAGGTGGACGTCCCGTCCTTGGACCTGTCGCCGCTGCGAATTCCTAACGACCGGTCGTGGACAGTCGCCCAACTCTTCAGCGAAATATCAACCCAGGTAAAAATTCCTCTCGATGGCATCGGCCTGACCGTCCATGTCGCAGTTGTCATGCTGCGTCACAGCCGCGACGCACTCGGTCTACGTGTCCGACACTCTCCTGCCATTGGACACTGTTTTGTCCGAAGCGACGGTCGACCGATGCACGTTGAGCGTGGTTCATCGCCGCTTTGACATTGATGTCCCTTGTGGCGTGGCGTTGTACGTCGAGCAGCACAGTGACAGAATCGTCGTCCAGCCACCAGTGCGGGAATGGAGACGTTGACAAAACAACTGAAGACTTTCATGTAGGTTCGACTTGAGACGCCGCTATTTGACCATTGGGCACTTGCCCCTGGACGAATCATCATGGTTGGAGCGCGGCCAGATGCGTACACGATCACAAAGCGCCTTGCTCTGGCATCGTGGCAATTGAATCGTCGATACGATGGACCAACCGACTGGCGGTCTCAGTCGACGCTGCACCTGCCAAGGCAGTTGTCCGATCCGCGGCTCCCATGGGAAGTACAAGATCGCTTGGCGTTGTATGTTGCCCGCCATCGAACCAAAGTGTCAGGACTTTGGTGCGGTAAGATCATGTCCGTGCCGGACGCTCTAAGTCGGCTCCAGACGTCGGAATACCTCGTCCTGGTGCGTCGAGCATCTTGGCGTTCCCTTTGTCAAACGCGGTGGTGGACTGTAGCTGCATCTTCGTGCTTTGTCCGTCGACTGGTTTGTCGACTTTCTATACGACACAATATGTACGGCATTTCCCCATTCGTACGGCATCACGCCGGTCAAGTTCACGGCATTCATCAAGTCTTTCCATCTCGGGGTGCAGTTGAACGTGGTCACAGCCACTGAAAGCCACATGCTCTTCAACAGGTACATTGATGGCATAAAACAAGTGGTGCTGCTGAAGCCGCAGTTTCGACGCGCGCTCGAGGACATCGCCCATGTCTTTCGTCCACACATGGACTTGACGTTTCCTTGCGCTGCCAACACCACCGCAAGTACCGAACATTCCACAAACATGGACGACGACAAGTTGCTTTTGACCACCAACTTTGTCCTACACCGGTTCTTCTTTGCGCATGTGCTGTCGCATGCACCCTTGCCCGTGCAAGACGCCATATTTGGTTATGCTACCGACGTGGCCTTGACCGAACTCATTCAAGACCACTGCGCGTTGTTGTTTGTCCAGTCCAGGGTCCGGATGCAATGGTGGCGGCAAAGGTAATGAGGGGCAGTGTTGTCGGAGAGACTAGCTGACAGCACGGATGACCAGATTCTTGAAGCGGCGA